TCTCTAGTTTCCTCCTGCAACCACTGAAAGCTTCTCCTCCTCTCCTTCCCATCAGCATTCAGCATCTGCAGGAGAAAAATGTTTATTATGTTATTAAAAAAAAAAGTGAAACTCGACCCATTTAATTTCATTGTAGCCCCTAACCAGGTACCAAATCACCTAAGTGGCCCTCACTCGTCAAAAGACTGAGCACCCCTCCTTTAATGTCTCAGTATATGGTTTAAGTGCTTTGCCAGTGCAGAGCAAAGCAAGATGTTCACTTTAATATAAAGTGCAACCTTAGGCAGAAAATTAAGTCCTACTGGACCGCTTCAGGCTGGCCCCTTTTGCAAGTATAGCTATGTAAAGCATTAAAGATAAGTCCCTAAACTATTTAAAACCCAGTAATACGCTGTCTCACCCTGCTATGCCGTGCTCAGTTGCTCTCTAATTTTTGGCACTGTGCAGAATTCAGCTGACAGTGTAAAGATTTATTGCTGCTCAGGGCTCTGGGCTTCAGCAAAATGGCAGCCTCCAGCAAGAAGAAACATGAGAAAAGCTGAAGGCAATTTACAGCACACGCTAATTCTGGTAGCGTAATTATTAATGTGGAATTTATGTTTCTTGCAAAAGAAGATTATTTTTATTAGTGTTATTTATTCAATTTGTTATTGGTAAAATTCCATTTTAATCCTTCTCAGCAGCTTTTACTTCACCCTTTTGCCTCATTGCCACAATGTTCAGATGCCAGGAGTGAAAGGAAAGTTCTGCAAATTTGTGAGTCGCTGGAGCTTACACAGGACTATGAATATCCCCTGTGACAGCACTGATTGGCAAAGTGCTGTCACATGGAGTAATATACCCCAAAGTGCTAGGTATTTCCTATGGTTGTCTATGCAGAGTGAAAGGAGCCAAAGGAAAGAAGTTTATATACTGCTGGGGATGGGGGAGATCAAAGCAGGCTGGTATCAACATCAGGTTAAGGTACTTAGGGCTGTTCTATATAAAAATACATTTACTAACTACAGTAGCAGTTTAGTATATCTGTCCAGAGTTTTGCTTTAAAAGTATTAGCATCAGGGGCATATTTACCACAAGGCAAACAAGGCATTTGCCTAGGGCGGCATTTTTTAAGGGGGGGTAGCAGCATTTTTCAGGGGGGCAGCTCTGCCTCCCAAAAGAAGGGATGGAGGAAAGGACACAAGCACCATGGGGACCAGATGGGACCTGAGAGAGGCTGTGGGGTGCTTGATTGTCTATGCAGAGTCTGACTCTTGTTCCCAGTAATGTCCGGAGCTGTGAAGATGTATGTCTTCTGTCTCGCTTGGGTGGGGGGTTGCCAGTGTATGGGGGGTGGTGGTAGTGGAAGGCTCTCTTGGGTGGAGGGGGGGGGGTTGTTGGTCAATGTCAGGATCTTATCGTGGGGGGGAGGGGGGTGTTTGTCAGTGTCAGGGTCTCTCCAAGGAAGGGGGGGGCAATTTTTGTGTTGCCTAGGGCAGCATGAAACCTAAATACACCACTGATTAGCATCACACACTGGAAAGAAAGCCCAGGCTTTTGGTATATTTAACAATAACCGTAATTTTGACTGATGCAAGGTATCAAAATGCAAGAACCAATTGCTTTTCTTATGTGTCTCAACCTCCATAAAGCTCTGGTCATATCTCTGTGTTATGGTTGTGTTGCAGGTACAGTGCATTGTAGGCACAATGTGTATTTTAAGTGCTTTTTTGCATGCATTGCTATTAAACTCACACATTTTTCTGGAGTTTGCATCAAGGATGCAACAAACAGGACTTTTTCAATACGCTGCACCTTCATTTTTATACATGTGTTTTATTCCCTTTACACCCTTATTCCATTTAAGTTACTTTTTGAAAATATATTTATTAAAATACATATATTCATACACCAGATCCTGGAAATATTATAATTGTGAGAAACTAAGCTCCTAAGACCTAAGTCCTAATATACACATGCATAGTCAAACCTACTGTATGCAAGCATGGTTTGCCAGGTCTCTAAGTTCAATAATTATTGACAAATCACGTTTTCATGGAAATATAGGTTTCTATACGAGTGATGATAATTGATTGCAAGTTAATTATAAAAATAATATGACCTGTGTTCCTAGAGGACTGGTTAAGACCAATCTAATCTTTCATGGCTTAACTGAAGCTAAGCTGCATTCTCCGTTAACTCAGCACTTCTAAAACGTACCAATAATATTAGGCTTATTGGCTTTGGAGAAAATGAAATATGGTGCTCCATATGCATGAAAAGGCAACCTAAAAAAGTAAATATTATCTTGTCATTAAATAAGTCAAGATTGCACAGGGAGTACTAAAACATGTAAACTATACATGGTATATATAGTGTAAACCAGTAGAAATGTCAGCATGTAAAACCATCTTATAAATCAGGAAGTCGGCTGTAAATTTAAAGTGTAGTCAAAAGTTGTTTTTTTTAGTTTTGGATAAAGTAAGGGTGGATTAAAATTCCTGCTGTTTTTTTTCTATGTCTGTGTACCCTTGGAGAAATTTCCCTTTGCTGGCTGTCCCAGAGACACAGCAGGAAGTGAGAGGAAATCACCCAAAGGAAGGAAAAGTTCTCTCTTAGACAGCAGTCCCCCAAACATGTGTCCCCATTTAAAGATTTCCCCTTACCTCCTATTTTGGGAACAACTATAAAATATTAAACTTTCCCTTACTTATTTGGTCATCAGTCCAAATAACGGAGTAAATATTTCCATTGGGGACACAGACAGCATTAAAAACATATAACCAGGGATAGAGAAAAGGGGCCTTAAACACAGTTAAATAAAATATTTCCATAATTATAAAAAAGAATATAATGTAATAAATGCAGAAATATATTTCATCAAATCGAAACACAATACACAAACAAATACCCCAAAACAGATAGCGGGTGGTAGTGGGGGCCCATCAGAAAATGAAAAACCTTTATAACAACAGCTTAATGTGGCAGCCACAATGTAAATTCCAAGGGATTAAAAACAGCTTATTAGGACTCCAGCAATGTTGGTTCCAGATCATTATAATTATCATGCTTGCCCAGGGTACAAAAGAGATATTGCACTATGCTTGAACCAAGCATGTGTATATTTTGTAGACCTCATGCACACTGGACGTTTTTACAGCTGCTGTTTTTGGCTTTTGACATTTTTTTCTGCAGCTAGACTGTAATCAACGTTTTTTTTTGGCTGGAAAAAAACCCAGGTAAGATTTTTTTTAGCTGTAAAAATGCTTTAACGCTGAAAAACATGGCAAAACGCGGTACAATGCCGCAAACCGGCTTTTTTGGACTCTTTTGACCAAAAAATTCTTTTTTTTGGTAAAAAAAATGCTAAAGAACGGTAAAAAAAACGCAAATGCGGGAAAACGCCACTAAACGCAGATAAAAACACAGCTAAACACTAATGCAAAAATGCTAAAAAAAAGCTGAAAAATTCACGTTTTTAACGTGACTTTACACAGCTAACGTTACCAGCATTATCAAAACACCCAGTGTTTGTCAGTAGACAAAATAGATCTGTATTCAGCATGAAACTCAGTAGCTTTTCTGCATTGATTCCTGTTAAACTCACTGATAACATTCTATAGACGCCTCTCTAGGTGGTATATTCAAAAACACAAGTTTGCATTTTGCACTTCTTTAAGGCAAACTAATCTGATTGTATGGATAGCTCAGAACTGGATCTACTGCATCTGATCCATTTGAATATCTGCTCTGTCATATGCAATTGCAGTTTTCATCTGCTGGACCCAGTCAATGAATATCACACTATTTCAGCTTCACATTTAAATGACTGTCCTATTATTCACATGTTGACAAATTCCTATTTGAATAGTTACTTATAGACATATGGACGATCTCATTAATATGATGGATTGCATTACATATACCATTTCATTCTAACTAAATGGGCTTTTCTGCTTTGTGGTGAATATAGATCTATACTGCCTCCTGATGGATATACATTCAAGTCTCTAGAACACATACACAATCTATGCATGCTTGGCTCAAGCATAGTGCCATATCTCTAATTCATCCCGGGCACGCGTATTAATTCTAGTGACTTAAGAAATAGCATTGCTGGAAGGACTTGTGTTTTTTCTTGGAATTTACATCATGGCTGCCACAATATGTTGATGACTTAGTAGTTTTTCTTTTCCTGTTGGTGTCCCATGATTAACTGTGTTTAAGGCCCTTTTTCTCTATCCCTGGTTAGATTTAGGAACTATTTGGGTCATCAATTATATATGTTTGCAGGCTATTAGTATTAACTATTTCTTAAAGTTCCTACAGAGGCAGTTTTCCCCATTTTATAGCAATAAAAACTTGACGAAGGGTCTAACCAGAACTAAAAACAAGCGAATTTGCCTTAAGGTACATTTTAGGATATATCTAAAACTTTATTTTTAGCATTGGGTAGGATTGGAAAGCATTGGAACCTCTGTTAGTTTGTTTTTTCTGTCTGTGTCCTCAGTGGGTGGACCTCAACATTTGTCCAGATGACCATTGTCACAGAGACATAAAGTGGTAAGAAATCTAAAATGTTAGAGTTTTCATCAGAACATAAGGTAAAGGGAAATCTTCTAAAGGGTACATGTCATCCAGCAACAACTGTCTATGAGAAGAATTCAAATTACTTTGGAGTGATTTCTTCTCACTACCTGTTATTTCTACGGGAGAGCAAGTAAAAGGAAATCTGCGCAAGGTATTACAGACAGTAAAAAATAAACCAACAGGGGTTTTAATTCTATTCAAAATAGGGAAAAAATGTTTTGGCTATACATACACCTTACATTATACATTTTAAACAAGAATTCTAAAGCCTGCCATGTGTGTTCAATCTACTTTAGCTTTTCAATAAACTACAGGGATTACTATGTTGATAATCACACTGTGTTGATTTTGAGAAAACAAAAGAAGATCGCATTACATTATAATATTTGTGGCCAGCTTAAAGTGTCACTAAATCCAGGACCCTGAATTCACTATATCTGGTCTCCCACAGTACACAGAATACGGAAGTGCAACTATTTTAATAAATATAAACTGGTAAATACCTTTTCTCAACAGCAATTAGTCTCTTGGGCTTCTATCAGTTTTCAGCCAAGCACTAGCTAAAGCTTGTAGGAGGAGTCTTCTTTCTGCTCTAGGAGGATGAAAAACCCCTTACCTCTGTCTGACCAGTGCTTATTTCCCTGTGCTGATCACATGCACTCTCCCAAGAAAAGAAACACCTCTCTAGCAATACACACCAAACTGAGCATGTGCAAAATGCCTACCGTTCAGTCTGTCTTATCAGGAGATAGGAGGTGGTCGCTTAAACAAGGGGAGAAACAGAGCAATCAGGAACAAATGGCCTATTTACACAATGCAGAGGATAACCCCTTAGGTTCCACAGTGAGTATTACAAGCATGCTTTACTGCATATACAAACTGATTTTACTATTGTGGGTTTAGTAACACTTTAAGTAAACTGGAAAAACCAATATGTATATTTTTTTATTTCACCCCAAATGATTACAATATTATTAATATTATTATTAGTAGTAGTATTATTATTATTATACAGTATTTATATAGAGCCAACAGTTTGCACAGTGCTTTGCAATATAATATGCACCTTGTAAATCTAAGAGTGCTTGCATGGCCAATTTTTCCCTCCAAACTGTGGATTATATCAAGAAAACATGCAATTCAGTGGAATAGCTCATAATTTAAAGCAGACATTGCAGCAAAACCTGATCTTTTATTATAGCTTGTATGGCAGCATGTACTACACCTTGCCATAGCTCTTTGTCTGAGTGATCTGTCATGGTGCATGATCAGTGGGCCAGTTAGAGGATACAGGAGGAAGAATCCAGTTCCCGATAAAGTAAAATACAAGATGGTACTGCCGATTTTTATTTCATCAGGACTGTACTTTTGGAGGCAAAAGCCTTATTATAACATCTAGCGCTGAGCCAATAAATTTGCTCACTAAGTATAACAAATTGTTGCACACACTGGGGGTTATTTTCTAAAGCTGGAGGTTGCAGCTCTGCATAGAAACCAATCAGCTTCCAGGTTGTTTTCCAAAGTTTAATTGAACAAGCTGAAGTTAGCAGCTGATTGGACTATGAGTGAACCAGTTTTAGTAAATTCCCCCTGCTGAGTTACACTTTGGCAAAGAATGTCCAAGATACACTTTAATAGGTGGGATGACAGTAAATTAGGGAGAATAAAATATTTAGCATGTTTTACTCAACATCAGCACTTAATCATACCTCAGTGATTATATAAGTAATGGGACAATGTGATTTCAGTGAAGAAACCAGGCATCCCTGCTAATTAAAGGATATGGGCACTTTTACTACAATTATTCTTTAAATGACCCACACTACCCTCCCACCTGCACCCCCCACCCCTCCACCACCACCAATGTTACACTTACCTATCTATGGTCCTTTGTAAAGTCATTACTGCAGAAGTGTCTTAGGTGGGCTCTGAATCTGCATTTATTCCAAAGGAAAGGCCATTTACCATTAGCATAATCAATCCCACAATGTGGGCAGCATCAGGCATGAAAGGGGGATGGAGAAGGAGAGTCAGAGAATTACAAACCAATATATGGTGTTGGGGTCTGGCTCACTCTCAGCATGACAGGGCTCCGGCTGTTCTTAACCTCTGGTCAACTGTTCTTTTTTTAATGTGTTACAAAAACCCAGGACCCTGCATTCACTAAATCTTGTCTCCCACAGTACACAGAACATGGAAATGCAATTATTTTAGTAAATATAAACTGCTAAATACCATTCTTGTGACTTCTATCAGTGTCCAGATGAGCACTGGTTAAAGCTTGTAGGAGTTTTCATTCTGCTCTGACTGTCCTTTGAGGCTGCATAACCCCTGACCCTCTGTCTGGACAGTGCTGATTGGCCCTGTCCTGATCACATGTACCCTTCCCAACAAAAAAAATCTCTCTAGCAATACACATTAAACTGAGCATGTGCAGAGTGATTCCTAGAGCTCTGCACCATCAGTAGATGGATTGGGGACAGCAGAAGAAGGGGAACATCAGAGAAGACAGGATCAAACAGCCTTTTTACACAATGTAGAGGATTAACCCCTTAGGTTCCACAGTGAGTACAACAAGCATGTTTTACTGCATACACAGACTGATTTTACTGTTGTGGGTTTAGTAACACTTTAATGTAGCTGGTACCTAGCTACACCAATCCAATAAAAATATGTAATGGAAAAATCCACTCTGTCTCAACATTTTTAGCTTCATAAAGAGAATTCTGTAAAAAGAACTAAAGAAGAAAATGATAGCATGTTCACTTGTTTTTCAGAAATAAATTCATTGCAAGCCACAGAAAAGCTTCAAAGCATACATTACAGAGACTTACCAGCAACTGTATGTTGATACAAAAAAGGTGCACATTGCATACAATGGCCTTTAGTTTTAACATAGTATGGAATAGAAATTATCTGCATATGTTTTACTTGGCAGCATTCTGGTACTGTGTTTCAACTTTATGGCCTCTTTAAAATAGTTATCAAAGGTAAAGCCTGGAAAGAAAATGCCTAATGATATAACCAGTCCCATGTTAGTTAAATCTATCTATTCTCCTACTGCTCTTTAGCTTCCACAAGCAGTGAGGGTTGACATAGGGACATAACGTTTTCATTTATGTCTTGGAAAGCCAATTACACACTAACTTGATAAGCAGAGTATTTCCCGAAGGCCGGTATCAAGCACTGGCATTGGACATCACTCACATAGCAAAAAAAAAATGTAACTTGACAATAACATTCATTATGAGAATACTGGTTGGGGAAGCATTTTAAACAACAATAACATTCGATGATTATATTATTACAGAAACATTTAAATCGGCATTGTTAGACATGTGCCAAGGGTCAGTGAGAGGCCATATAAAAAGAATATGTGGGGAACATGCAGTTTATTCTGATAGGAGACAGTTAACTATTCATATTAGATACAGATCATAGCAGTAGCTTCCAATGTTGTGTTAAAGTGTAAATTTGCCCATAACAACTTCATAAAAAAATAATGTTCTTTAGCAAGAAACATTCTCTTGGTGCTCCATCAAGGCTCTGCTTCATTCCTCCTGTATAAACCTTCAAGCAAGGCAGTGTGAGCCTTTCAGGCCCCAGACACCTGCTTCAACAACAACCCTCCCCATCCAACAAGCCTGAGAGGCAAAAGGTGGGTAAAGCTATGCAATAATGATTTTCTTCCCCCTTAATCATCCATCCAGAACAACTGGTTTATAACAAGGGATACACAAATATGCATAATCCTTAGAATTCTTTCTGACTCAAGAAACAGTTTGCTTGCTTCTGGAGCAGACAACTAGCAGGCATGGAGTGCATGAGAAGTTCCTCTGCAAAGGCCCAATCTGATATGTCATTTTATGTGTTTTGTGGGAAGGGAGTAGGTATCTGTGTGTTAGGCAGGCAGGCGGCAAATCGTTTTGGTAAAATACTTTGCATTCATTTTTTTGAATTGCTTACAATTATTGAATGACCAGATTACCAAATGCTGCATTTTTTAATGTTTCACTAAATGCAAAACTTTTTTTTTTTTTACATTTTGGACAAAGTAAGGGAGGGTTGTAACCTCTGTCGGGTTTTATTTTCCATCTGTGTCCCATAGGGAAGATTTCCCTTCACTTCTTGTCCTATAGACCAAACAGGAAGTGAGAAGAAAGCTCTCCAAAGTGAGGGAGTCCCAGTCTGTCACCAGGGCCACCCAAACTATTGTCCCTAATGGAAAATGTTCCCTCTATTACTGTTCTGCTGTCAACCCAGAATTTGGGATTTTCTTTTATTTTCGCTTTTTATGATAATGGTAAACAGGACATATAGAGAGGGTGAATCTCCCTTACGGGGCACAGACAGCAATAACAATGTAATAAGTGCACTAATCCCTCTTCACTTTATCCAAAACAAAAGAAAAAGTTATGCCTTTAGTTACATTTGAAGGTTTTTTCCTTCAACACCTTTTTCAAGAACTGGTACTTTATTTGCAATTAGGGATACAACTACTCAGTAAATTTGAGGAGCAAATCTTGCCATGTTTTCCCTTAGTAGCATACTTGTTAAAGATGGGATATTTCAGCTTTTTCATACACTACTCAAGATGTCACCAAAAGAGTGGATTGTTGAAGGTGGCTGCAATAGAAGAAATGCCATTGTTACCAAAATATAACAAGAGATCCTTTCGTCCACAATATATTGTAAAGTACTTGACTCAGTCATCTTCATATACAATATACATGATAAATAATTATATTTACCAGGTATAATTCTATTGAATCTATCTGCCATTGTCACCTCCTGCTAATGCTGTGGTTTACTGTCTTCAACCACTCAAAATAAGAATGATGAACTGATAATCACCATCTACATCCTGGACTCCACATGCGACTTTACAGTTTCTACAAAGAAATCATTAGTGAAAGGTGACAATACTGAACTAAAGTGATAAAACGATGCCTTTAAAATGTTTTTTTACAATGAAAAGTTTGGGTGAAAGGCAGGGCAAACTTTCATTAATTCAATTTATACAAAGAAAAAGTTATATACTATATTGCCAAAAGTATTGGATTCAGGTGTTCCAATCCCCTCCATAGTCACAGGTGTATAAAATCAAACACCTATCCATGCAGACTGCTTCTATAAACATTTGTAAAAGAATGGGTCGCTCTCAGGAGCTCAGTGAATTCAAGCATGGTACCATATTCCACGGTCAACTGTTAGTGGTATTATAACAAAGTTGAAGCAACTGGGATCAACAGCAACTCAGCCACAAATTGGTAGACCACATAAAAGAGAGAGGAGTCAGCGCATGCTGAAGCGCACAGTGCACAGAAGTCAGCAACTGTCTGCAGAATTAATAGCTAAACACCTCCAAACTTCGGGTGACCTTAAGATTAGCACAACAGTGCATAGAGAGCTTCATGGAATGGGTTTCCATGGCTGAGCAGCTGCATCCAAGCCTTACATTACAAAGTGCAATGCAAAGCATCGAATTCAGTGGTGTAAAGCATGCCAACATTGGACTCTAGAGTAGTGGAGATGTGTTCTCTGGAGTGACGAATCATGTTTCTCTGTCTGGCAATCCGATGGACGTGACTGGGTTTGGCGCTTGCCAGGAGAATGGTGCTTGACTGTCTGCATTGTGCAAAATGTAAAGTTTGGTGGAGGGGGGATTAAGGTGTGAGGTTGTTTTTCAGGGGTTGGGCTTGGCCCCTTAGTTGCAGTGAAGGAAACTCTTATGGTGTCCGCATACCAAGACATTTTGGACAATTTCATGCTCCCAACTTTATGGGAACAGTTTGGGGATGGCCCTTTCCTGTTCCAACATGACTGCACACCAGAGCAAAAAGCAAGGTCCGTAAAGACTTGGATGAGCGAGTTTGGGATGAATTAGAGTGGAGACTGCAAGCCAGGCTTTCTTGTCCAATATCAGTGCCTGACCTCAAAAATGGAAGAATGGTCAAACATTCCCATAGAGACACTCCTAAACCTTGTGGACAGCCTTTATAGATGCAAAGGGTGGGCCAACTCAATACTGAACCCTATGGACTAAGACCGGCATGCCATTAAAGTTCATATACAGTATACTATAGGTATTTATTGAACTTGCATTTGCAAAGACTTTATTGCCTTTGTAAACAGGAAAAATACATTATCAGAAAGATGTTTTACAGCATCTGTCATTGGCTTTGACAAAATATGCAGTGCAGGAAACATTACAGGGCAAATGAGGATAGGAATACTGCCAGCAATGGTGGGACCTGAATTTAGTTGTCTGTAAGTGCCTTGGACTGTTTCAGAGGTCATCCCCAACCCAGTTAGAAGCCTCCGGGCATTTAGATGAATCAGTACATACAGCTTGGGAAGATATGAATTGTAAAACTTTGCAACAACTCAGGTAATGGAACTAGGGACTAAAATATTTATTAAGCTTAGCTTTTCAGAAGTCTCATCCTTGCATATTTACATTAATGCAACAGATTCCTGGTCTTAGAAAAGACATATGAGCTGCACGGCACCAGTGTTAATGTTTACATCAAAATTTGATGTAGTTTTAGACATAGTCTTTTAGTTGACAAAAATCTCCAGTACATTTTAGTCAACTAAAATCTCCAGTATCATAAACTAACAAAAAAAAAACATTGCTTTTTGACAAACAGAAGTGCAACTTTGAACTATAAAATAAAATGTAAATTCTGTTGGCTGCAATGCCATTGTACATATTGCCAGAATTTAAAAACTTTAACAGCTCTCTGTTAATAATGACAACAAGTATCAAGTAACATCTTTATAATTAAAACCAAGTTTTGTAAACAAACAAGAATATTGTTTTTTGACCAATGTTCATTTTGATATCAAATTTCAATTTAGTTTTAGTCATAGTCTTTTGACTAAAATGCCATTTTAGTACTTGCCGTATTTTAGTTATCTGATTTGAAACTAAATTTTATTTTCACTTCATTTTTGTCACTGAAAACATGCAGCTGACGAAAACAATGGCAAAAACATTTTCATCTACAAAGTTAGCACTGCATGGCACATTATGAGTATAGATCGTTGTATCTTGCCACAGTGAAGGTCAACAGTCAATGGTCCACCCTTTGCAATAACTGGAAGACCCTTCCACAAGGCTATCTCCTGCAGCAATTGAATTGTGTTGTTGAATACAAAAAATCCACATGACTGATTATGGGGTACTGTTTATTTCGATTTGAGCACAGACTTTATGAAGTACACACCTATATGAAGCTGCCTGATGATGTAGAAGGTTAGAAAGAGCCTAAACGTTTTAGCCATGTAGTCTTCCCACTGATAAGATAAAGATGGAGGAGTCAGCAGAGGAAATCTCCATCCCCCTCCATTGCCTAAACCTGCATGATGCTACAATTTCCATTTAATCACAGACTTTATGTAGTACACAACTGTATGTAAACCTGG